AGCAGTCAGCGACTCAACTTAGCTTGATGTTAACGTTTTCGACTCATTGGCTTTCTGTTTGGGGCTCTTCTGTAGCTACTGACGACTAATGAACAGTGGTGGATGATCGCTGCATGCCGTAAATCTAAGCTAGAGACTGCTCTACAAGTGATACTTGAAGCTAAGCAGGAAATGGTCAGAGCTTAACCCAGCTGTACCAAACATGCTGTATATCATTGGATTCGTCCTGTAACGGTGCACACATATATGTTTATTGTCTGCCAAGCGAATTTGGGAGTAGTTATGAGCGTTTAAATGTGCGATTTGTCGAGTGCTCTGTGGCGCATGTTCCACGAAATAGGTTTCAAAAACACTTAATTAGAATTTTTGGTAAATTTGCTTCTTCCTTGTAAATGCAGTAACTGTAGCCACTGTAAATCCGCGCCATCAGGCCGCCTTTCAAGGAAATATATTTGTTGAAACTCGAAAAATCTCTCATGAACGCTCGTAATTCCTCCCAAATAGTCGCTTGAAAGACAAAAGCATATATTCGAAAGCAGCGTTTCAAGACGAGTCCGATGATATATAGCTTGTTTGGGAAGGCTGGGTTAAGTTTTGATATTTACTCGTTGGCAAAATGCTATGTGGTAGGAGAACTATCATATTAATAAGTGCCTCTACTTACTTTTGGGACACTCTGTATGCTACTTTAACAAGACTGTATTCTTGCAGATGCGTGCAGATTGTAGCAGTTTCTCTTGAAGCTAAGGCTTCAAGAATGCTATGTGAAGGATGTTATTGACAATCCGGTTACTCGAATAGGTTCTGAGGCATAGAATTTTGTAAGCATAGTTTGAGAGATAGGACTGTACTCTGATAGCAGTATTTTCTCCTCGCCGGCACTATAAACCTTGGTTGACTGACTACAGCACAACGCCTAACGAATGAAAGCATTCGTTAGGCGTTGTGCCGTAGTCAGTCAGCATTCCGGAGCTCATTCGCAATAAGAAGTTCAAATCTCGCGATTCTTATATAATCGAATATAGAGACTTTTTACGATTCATAAGCACATCAGCTGTTCTAAGAGTTCATACTGATTCTCATGTTCCAAAACTGTTCCCACACAGTTCCCGAATTGTGCTGGATTTGTTCCGGAACTGTGCTGCATGCGCTGCAGCCGCCCCGCGCGCTTTTTGAAAGGCGGGAGTTGGAGAATTTTGAACCTTTCCACCGGATTTTTTTCCAGATTCCTCTCATTTTGGTCTTCTTCCTCTACCCATTTCCCTTTTCGATCAGCAGAATTTCGAACTCGAAGAAAGGTTGAAGAATGAGCGCTTTTCTGCTCTGGGTATCCGACAAAAAGTCTCTCTTGCGGTTGTCCATTCTCGCTTCGTTTTCTTTTTGCTCAAACCTATTCCATTTGTTTCAAGAAGCCGCTGCATAGTTTCCACAGGCATCTATCTTCAATTAGGACATACGAACATTCTGAAAATGCAGAAATGGGAAATCTGCTCTTGTTTTCTGATGAATTTTGTTTTTTGGCATTTTCAGGCCCTTTCCTTTTTCCACATCGTTGCTTCTCCGTTCTCTCTTCTACTCCGCTTCTAGTGATGAGAGAAGCTGGGAACTTGAAGCGGAGTTGAAGAGAGAACCCTGTTCTCTTTCATGTGCATGTTCCGGATAAGTAGAGAAGAACAACGTTCATTCGCCACTCCCGCTTCAAGTTCACAGCTTTTCTCATCACAAGGAGAAGCGGGGTAGAGGAATAAGGCCAAAATGAAAGGAGTCTGGAAGAAAACCGTTGAAAACGGTCGAAATTTTACAATTTCCGCCGTTTGAAATGCGAGGGGCGGTTGCAGCGCATGCACAGTTCCGGAACAGTTTCTGTACAGTGCGGGAACTGTGCGGAAACAGTTCCGGAACATGGGAATCAGTATGAACCCAGCCTAACGGATTTGAGGAAAAAAATGAACTACGTGTTGCAGCGCCCTTACGTACCGGGCGCCCTGTATTTAGATGATCCATTCTTGGCCTATGTCCTTATGGCTGTCAAATATCATGATCCATTTTTGACATCATTTTTTGCGATCTCAAAACTTACCTACAAAAAAAATTTTTTTTAAAGATTTGGGTTGAACTTCTAAACAATGGATAACAATTCTAAAATTCGCGCAAGCTAGTTTGTGATATTTGAAAGCGTTGCGTTTTTGCTGAATTATGTGGTTACTGAAGCCAGTCTTATTCTTCAGAATCTAGAGTGTAGCTGTTCCTGTAATATCCAGTCATGTTTCTTATCCCTAAGCAACCGTCTCCTCTTAGAAGGAGCACTATATGTTGAAGGGGTGATAGAAGAGAGTACACTCAAAGCATTTAAGTTAGGGCGCAATTACTAACGCATGACTCACAGCTTTTCTGCTTAAGTTTCAATCCTTTATTTCAAACGGTGATCGCTGACTTTTCAATACAGAAGCATTCTTTACGTATGTTTGTTTGAGCTTTTGGAAAACATTTCCTTACTTCTTGATCTCGAAGTTCTCGAGAACAACCAACATAGCAAGTCAAAAAAGGTTCGAATAATGTTGCAGGCACGCGCCTATAACCATCGATTACTATCAATTCTTATTGAGAAGGCCATTGGGGAACAGGGAAGATTTAATAGATGTTTCAGCTTCTGTTACAAAAAAGTACTGTGTAATGTATCCAAATGTCTTCTTGTATCTTCCTCTTGAAGATTAATGCGATCGCACCATCTCGGCTTTCGCTTGTCATTCCACTGGTAAAATTTTGATAGTAGGGCAGCAGTTCTGCTCCTTGAATCAACTTTGTAATGTAGCTTATTATCATTTAATCTTGGAAAGTGGACTATTAAAACGGCTTTAGAGCTAACAACGAAGAACACATAAGATTAGACAATACCATTATTCAAACAGCCATTTTGGGAGATGCATACGTGGTGCAAGGATCAGATGTACAGAGTTCCTAGGCATGGTAGGCAACATCACGGAGAAACGAAACTTCTCATCTTCAGCATCAAAAGGCTGACTTTAATAATCCGTGAGCATTCGCAAGCTGAAATCTCCACGCTGTTTGAAACTCTGTTCAAGTCGCAAAATGATGTCAGTAAAACTTGAGTTCCAATCATCTTACCAAATCAATACTGTTTGACTTGTTGAATACTACACCTCAAAAGAATTGCAGTGTCGAGGAATTTGAAATCAACTCGGAATTATAAGGCGTTTCATGCTTCGATAAGCCTCCAAAAATCCTCTCTATGAGATTTCAACAGTAATTTTTGTAGTTTGCGTAGTTTCCTGATGCAAACTATCATCATGTTATGAAAAACATTTTTTCTGATTGAAAAATCTGACGTTATAAGATTCTTTGACGTAAAATATCATAGCGAAGCTGGTAAGTGATCTTTGAGAGAGTGAATTATTTCTTGCGTGTCATAACAGCTGCGAATTTTGACTCCTAATCCTGAGTGTGCCACTGAATGCTAATTCCGAGACTATCTTCTAAATTTTTCGAGATTTTCTTTAAGCAGAATTATTAGGTCGTTCCGAAAGTAATGTCGCTTTTTTCAAATGTATGCCACATCTCCTGGAACAAAGATATGTAAGAGATTCTGAAAGCATTTGATGCAGCATTTCATTCTCTTTCTAATGGTTATGAATGTATTGCAATACAGTCAATGAGCTTTCAGAAAAGAGCCAAAATCCGCGACCTATGCTTTTGAGATGGCCAAGATTCACAATTTTTCTAAAATTCTATAACAACCCTCAGAAGGAGTCCAGAGAATAAATGGATAGAGCAAACCCTACAGGAAACAGCACAACTTTTTTCTACTTTCCAGAGCTCGTAATAATTTTTGTACAGATTTTTTGATGGAACAACCAAATTTTAGCAGGCTCGTCTCAAACACAAATGCATCAAACGCCAACAAGTCTTCGGATTTTGAAACTTACAAAGATGGATTATGGTTTGGCAACAATTTTACAAACCAAACGAGCATTCACCGGTTCGGTTTAGCAACTTTCGAAAATTTCGGGTACACCTTGGGGTCCCTTGGAAAAGTTGAATCATGAAATTTTATTCCGAAAAACTTGATGAATCGGAAATAAAAGACAACCGCTAGAAAGAGGAGAAAAAGCTGCTTCGAATGACACTCGAGTCACTTGCCAGTTGTTGTTCTGTGAGGTTTGACTTGACTAAATATGGAATTTGAGGGCATTGAGAAATTGATTGTAGAAACTCTGAGAAGCAAGCTAAAGAAAAGAAAAAATTACTCTGTGTTCTATATTGTTTGCTCTATGTACCCGCCACTTGTACTTTTTTGGAGATAGGTACAAAAATTTAGAAAAATAGCCGAACATGACCATGGCAAAAAGCATGAGTCGCAGATTTTGATAATTTTTCGAGAGCTCATTGAACATTATGCAAGAAATTAATACCATTAGAAAGAGGATGAAATGGTGCATTGAACGCTTTTAAGAGCTCTTGAAAATCTTGATTCCACGAATAGTGGCGTTATTTGAAAAAAAGCGACATTACTTTCGGAACGACCTAATATATGGAAATGTCTCCGCATGAGATATTACTGCCTAGTTATCGAGTAGGTGGCAAATCTTCTTCACATTGCTTCGCTCCTAATGAACTCTTGCGGATAAAACCGACAAGGCTGGTTCCTTCTACATCGCCTCCGTTACGATAGGGCGCGAACCGTGCGTAGCGGATGCTTGTCAGCCTAATTCGCCTCATTTGGATTGAAACTGACTGTATGACATCTCTAAAATCACATCGTCTGACGTTTTAACCTTAACATGACTGCAATGATATAATCTCTTTACAAGTGGCCCATAGAGAATGTCTTCGTCTAACTCCACAAATGCTTCGGCTACTCACTGGCAAATATTTCATAAAATATCTACATGCTTCAAAACTCAATACCAATAAATCATAATTTATTGAATGAGATGTAATAAATTTGCTTCATACAGCAGAAATGAGAGGAAAAGCGAAAGATTGTGTTAGAATGTCGGCAGAGCTGTTTTATTTCCCAAAGTTGTATGCACGAAAGGCTCTACGGTATAAAGTTCTTGACCCACGCTCCGTGTCAGGATAAGGAAAGCCAATTCCATAGCCCCAGGGACTTTCAGGAACCCACGCCTCTTCCAATGGACCTGTGCCTCCATTTTGTCCTGAAATATTATATTTTGTAACAAAAACATCCATATAGTGCTTTATGCACTCACTCCTCCTAAAGTATCCGTATTCAGGTGAGCTGTCACGCGAATTCCGCGATTCCGGGGATGACCATCTGTAGCGTTGGCGTTGTGCTGCAATGCAACAATTTCTCCTGTGGAACATGCAGGTGAGATAGAACTAACCAGATACGCTAGTGCACACAGAAATCACGAGCACAAGAAATAAGCAGAAATAGGTAATCCTCATTTTGCATTATGGGAACCGCGCACAACAGCATATATAAATGCTCACTGATGTGCCAGAATAAGGACGAACTAATCGATCTGGTGATGTAAAATCCGAGTTTAATCCCATGTAATCTTTGGAATTAGCGCAAAAGCATCCAGTTATTGAATATTCATTATCTCAAACATGAATTTGTTTAAAAAAGGAGGTAAGTGCATTCAAAAGCTCACAAAATGTAAATATGCATACAACCACCACGCTACAATGTGATCCAGGAGGGTGAAAACATGATTTCTGTGACGTCAAGGAGTAATGACATACATACGAGTCATGCCTCCATGTGATGCAGAACGTGCATAATTTTTTTTGTGCATTGTATCGAAATTTCTATATAGATAAAAATAATAACTAAGGCCCTGTGTTTCTATCACAACCTTTTTCCCACTGTGTAAGAAATTTTTAAGATTGAATTTATTGAATTTAAGAATTTTTTCAGAGAACTACTAGGTACTAGAAAAAAGTTTTGCAACTTCTCCTATAACTTTACTTTCTTTGGATGCGAGGCACTCAAACTTTGGCAATATGTAGAGCGTAGTGTGTGCTACAATCGCACACAAACTTTTTGAATTTTAAACACGAATTTTGAAAATTTCCAGACATTTTAAGAACTAGTGCTGAGATTTTTGAGGTTTTGCGCTAAAGTGAAGCTTCTAGCGGCTTAGATTATGCGCAATAGATCATTGAGTTGTTGCTAGAGGTTCACTCATTCGATTCAGTAAGAAAGAAAGTGAATTTAGAAGCAGGTCGAGAAGTGGAGTCATCACAAATTCAAACATTTCACTCTAAGCAAGGCTGCTGGGGACAACGGTCAATGACTATCCAACTGGAACCTTAAAATTCACTGAGACTTCACATAGTAAGGTTAGTCGACGTGACAAAGCTTCTTCCCTTGTTTAGGGTGAGACCTTATATCGTAAACCTACAGTAACCTTACAAAAAAACCCTTATCAAACTTCAGTATGGTTTTCGTGATTCAAAATATAGGACAACTCCCTGTGCCAAGTTTTAGCCACTCGAATTTTATAGTTTTCCTCTTATACCTACCGTAACCCTCACTGCAACGTCGGAATTTTGGTAGAACAGCATCTGCGCTTGTATACGTCATAAGCCAAATGATGGCGGAATTGAAGGCGCCAGGTTGAGAAAGAGAATTATTGAATAAGTTGCTCTTAGTCTAAGTTTTCAACCTAATAAGATTGACAATTATTAGGTTGTTGCAAAAATAATGTCCGTTTTGCAAAGTTTCAATTTGAAAGGCTACATCTTTGTTCAGTCTTCATATTTTTTTATTATTATTTATTACTTATTTCATATACTTAATTATTCAAGACCTTCAGAAGTAGTAAACCATTCGTACCTTAGGGCGCATCTGCTCATCCTGAGATCGCAAACGGGAAGAAAACCATGCGTCAAAAAAAACGAATGTTTTTCTTTTGAAAAATTTGTCTTTAAGAACTTACAACTCTCTTCAAGTTTTGTTCCTATGGATGCTAGTCAGCTTGTTTTGTAGAAGCAAGCCAGTAGTATACGTTTGTGTAGAAAATATATCAACGGAGGAGTTTTGCGAAAAGAAAAGATAGAATCCAAAGTGCTCCACTTTTCTGAACCTATCTGTGGTAAGCCAAAGTCCCAAACTACGGAAATTTGGAATTCTTCATCCACTGTATAGTTAAGGTTTTCTCCAAAATTTGTAGGCAAGATGTTCTGACCTCAAGCATACAGAAATGAGCAGAGCTTCGGCGATTGCTTCAATTATGAGAAACTTTGGAATGAATGCCAGCAGCGTGTATCTATTTCGGGACGTCGATTTTTTGGTTTAGATATTTTCGAAGAATCAACTTAAACGTGCTATATTTAAACAGTGGTCAACCAATAAGTAGCTATGTTTTCGGGAATTCGTTCATTTGCGCCTGAGTTGTGGCCAAGAAAGTTAAAGTAACGATATTTTGAGTTTAAGTGCAGATGCGTGAGATGCTGGTGAAATATTCTCACAGCTGAGACAGAAGGTTGATTTTGTAGCTTTTGTAAAGTTCATGAAGAAAGCTTTCCAATGATATGCTGAATTCATACCAGAAAAGAAACTTTGAAGGAAAAAAGTTGTTTGGAAAGTAGGCATAGAAGAACGAACATTATTTTTGCAAAGCTCAATGCTTGAAGCTTACATGCCATGAGCAAATAAACCAAGTCCTGTGAGACTTGAGTTCTGCGAAATTGAGACCTTGACGAGCTGAACCATGCAAATAATTGAACAAGTTATCAGATTTGTATGTAAAAGTCTCAACGGCGTTATTCTCAGCTCCTGCGGCTCACCGCCTCGACTTCGCTATTCGGATAAATAGAACGAGACTGGGCAAGGAGCAGAATCAACGCTTAAGAAAATGTATAGCATAGGAAATGAGGTGAAAAAGCGAAAGAAAATGCCGAACAGCGAGAGAACGTAATGCTGGCAAAATGCCAGTAAAAGATAAATGAAGTAAAAAAAAAAGGCGTCTTCGAATACTCTTTGCAGTCATGCGCCGAAGGCACTCCACTTCATTGTCGATGAGGCTAAGAGGCGCGTGCGTGGCTTTTGCAGTAATTTGCGAAGGCCAGCCAATTACCAAATCAGTGCTTTTTATCCTCCCAGATTACTCTGCTACCCCACGGGCCCCGGAGGGTCTGGTTGGTTTAGGGGTGGAATCACCTGAGTCGGATCTGGTCATAGCCCTCATACCACTACACCACTCGTGCCCAACGCTAAAGTCATAGCAAAAGCCGCCTGAGGCTCAAGCGCGAAGCGCGAGGAAGAGACCTGAGCCGCAGTTCTGAGCACACTACTGGGGATAGCCTGTTGACGTTGGCCAGTGACTTTTGCTGTTCTCAGACAACTGTTGCAGCCCAGCCGGGCTTCGCTACTAATCCGCAGCATAATGTCTAGCGTTATGTGCGTCACGCCCAGCAACGGCCCACGGCCCACCGGTTTAGTTGGTGACCTGTGCACAAAGCGATGTCATATTAACAGTGACCCGCTCATCTGTATGAACTCATGAAAACACTGACGGTCCACGAATAGACAAAGATGCATGCTGGAATCAACAGCGACCCGCTCAATCACAACTCAAGACACGCTGTGAGCGCAAAAGCTCATATGAGTTAATGCGCAGTGATAGGGAGCCAATGAATTGCATGAGAAGCAAGGCTCGACGCCAGCTGAAACCAGGAACATTTTTAAACGAAGTCTCCTTTAACTTGTTTTTAAAACCCATCACTACTTCTCATTTGTCTTTTTTTTTATCTAAGTTGAAGCTCATCCCAAGGTACATGTTGTAGGAATGTAAATCCTTCTTATCTTTTCCATCGAAACTTTGAGAAACTTTCATTTTTTCGTCATGGTCGACGCGCCTTAGTAATGGGCTTGGCACTTGCCGCTCTCCACCTCTCCCTTGCTCAGCCTCCACTTCTCTCACGAAATATGACAAGTTGAAGAATGTGACGTTAAGGTTAGGCGAGTTCTTCAGATGATGATGATAAGATGAAATGTGAATCGTTACAGAGTGAATAAGTGAAGTTGTTAAACTGATTGTTAATTCAATAATAAGATGTACTACTCATTGTAAGGAGGATAGGTTGGGACCAGTGGCGTACCCAGGATTTCGGCTCGGGGGGGGGGGGGCGACAAAAAATTTTTTTCGATGAAGGTGCGTGGCGTCAGCCACGCACTCCGAAAAAGTTTTTGGTATGCTTCCTGAAATTTTCGGGGGCTCAGGACCCCGAAATTTCAGAAAAAAGGGGCGTGGCGTCAGCCACGCCCCCGAAAAATTTTTTTTTATAAGGCTAAATCGAATTTTTAAAAATTTTTAAAAATTTTTAATTACTTACAAGTATAAACAAGTCTTTTGCACATTTTTATAAGTCATGTAAGTAACTTTCAAAAATTTCGCGACCCATTCTCGGGGGGGGGGGCGCGCCCCCCCCCCCCGCCCCCCCCCCCCTCGGTACGCCACTGGTTGGGACGGGATGCGATGGCGCCAAGAGTGCACCGCTGAACTGTGGCAGCAAAGGGTGGTAGCCACCACCCCAGATGCTGTGGGGATATTGTGGTCCAACAAACATAGGAATCCTGGCAATTACCTGCCTGCCACCGCTCGACGCTGCACTCCTAACACCATCGTCCCTAGTTTCCGTCTTTGCCAGATATTTTTCCTTTTCTCCTTGCCTTTCTTCGGTCTTCGCCTGTCGTCCCGTAAGCCTGAAATAAATAAATTGCGTTGACGTTCAATTTTGTTTACCAAGGCGCGTCGACCATGACGAAAAAATGAAAGTTTCTCAAAGTTTCGGTGGAAAAGATGATTAAAGAGGGGTTTACATTCCTACAACATGTACCTTGGGATGAGCTTCAGCTTAGAAAAAAGAGACAAATAAGTAGTAGTGATGGGTTTTCAAAACAAGTTAAAGGAGACTTCGTTTCAAAATGTTCCTGGTTTCAGCTGGTGTCGAGCCTTGCTTCTCATGCAATTCATTGGCTCCCTATCACTGCGCATTAACTTAAATGAGCTTTTGCGCTCACAGCGTGTCTTGAGTTGTGATTGAGCGGGTCGCTGTTGATTCCAGCACGCATCTTTGTCTATTCGTGGACCGTCAGTGTTTTCATGAGTCCATACAGACGAGCGGGCCACTGTTAATATGACATCGCTTTGTGCACAGGTCACCAACTAAACCGGTGGGCCGTGGGCCGTTGCTGGGCGTGACGCACATAACGCTAGACATTATGCTGAGGATTAGCAGCGAAGCCCGGCTGGGCTGCAGCAGTTGTCTGAGAACAGCAAAAGTCACTGGCCAACGTCAACAGGCTATCCCCAGTAGTGTGCTTAGAACTGCGGCTCAGGTCTCTTCCTCGCGCTTCGCGCTTGAGCCTCAGGCGGCTTTTGCTACGACTTTAGCGTTGGGCACGAGTGGCGTAGTGGTATGAGGGCTATGACCAGATCCGACTCAGGTTCGATCCCACCCCTAAACCAACCAGACCCTCCGGGGCC